AAAAAAAAATTGCCTATTTGCCTCGATTCCCAATTTCATGTAACTACATCATTTCACATGGTTTTTAATATTTTATCGCTCACTTATTTATTCAAGTACTTAATGTTGTATTGTGGTTTAGAACTTAGAATCCATGGCAGTGTCTGTTGGGAAATTATTTAATTTGCCACGTGAGCCAACATAATAATTAATTGTGTATAAATATTATTTTAAAATTAATCCCTCCAAAAAATTAAAGTGATCCAATAAAGAACTAAGTAATTGAGTTTTGAGTATCTAAATAAAGTGTTGGACGAATTATATGAGTAGAGATCAGATCCATTAGGATTTGTATTTGATGATTGACCGTATACATATGGAAACTATATATAGGGTTAGGTCCCCAATTTATATGCAATTCTTATTCTTTGTGTTATCCCATCAACACAAGAATTAATAGAGAAAGCATATTGAATATGAAGATCCAAAACCCACAATCAAGAATCAAGAATTACAACCAAGAATCAAGAAGAATAATTGAATCAATTAAATTGAAAAACAAGAAATCAAGATTTAAAGATCAAAATTCAACATTCATTATTCAAGATACAAATCATTGAATCAAGATATATTCCGCATTAATTAATTTTCTTGATGATTTGGTATGAAAATCTTGACAATTCATAATATTTTATAAAGTTTAAGTTTTATGAAAAATTCAACAAGTGGTATCGGAATCACTCCATGTTAAAGCATTGAGATTTAAGAAATAATTTTAGAGTTGAAATTCATAATTTAGATTACTTAATTTTGGGATGTGAATTTCAAACCCTAGATATTTAAATTTTCGGTATTTTCTAGTGGTGTCAATGGGTCGAGCCGAGCTAGCTCGGCCCTTAAGGCCATGAGCTCGGCTCGACTCGTGGAGAAATGAGCCACGAGCTCACGAGCCGAGCCACTCGTGGCTCGTTTGCTCATGGGTGAGCTCGGCTCGGCCCACGAGCTCGTGAACTAACGAGTCACGAGCCAAGTGGCTCGGCTCGGCTCATGGCTCGTTTGATTTTAATTTAATTTAATTTTTTTTAGTTTTCTTTGTTTTGTTTTTTCACGAGCCCACAAGCTCGGCTCGTGGGCACCACCCACGAGCACTCGTGTATTTTACGAGCCGAGCTGGCTCGGCTCGTCTAACGAGCAGGCCGCTGGGCTCGTGCTCGTCTTTTCACGTCCGCTCGACTCTTTTGACATCACTAGTATTTTCAAATTCTACAATTTTTAGGACTTAATTGTTGAATTTGAGTATAATTATAATTTA